ATTTGTTCACTTACTAAAATAAATTGTGTTATTTTGATATTAAAAAATATTTTAAACATCAATTTAGTACAAAATATTTGAATAACAAACATATTGAGTGTGTAAATTAATAATCAAGTATGTTAAAAATCCAATTTTAACAAAAGGACCGGTTTCAATACAAGTACAAAATGATTCTTACTGTGTATACATGCTACAATTCTCTAAAGTCGCTAAATTAATCAAACGGAAAGTGAAATCGCGATAGAGTCGGATAGAGCCATGTTCGCCTTTATCGCTGTAGGAAATTAATGTCGCGGTCGATAAGGATCTATCGCACGAGTTCGATGCATGGATAGACGGAGTATTTGTCATAGAGTCGATCGGCAATCACATTGGCCATTGACGCCTTCGCGATATATAAGACCGACCGGCCGTGTTCCGCGTGCTCGGCGTGTCTAGTGACCAGAGTACCGTGCAATCGTTTCTGATCGACGGAATATATCCTCGACCGGGTTGTTGTATACGATGCCGGTTTTATGTACTGCCACGCGCGACGGACACGCGTTACCAACACGCGCGCTGCGCATTAAATTACGCGTATCCGTGTCAAACGCGTCGTTACGGAATTGCTTATAAACCGTTAAAAACGGCGGATGATGCCCGTCGTTCGATAATTTTTCTTAATCCGCTGACGTGAGCAGCGCGTAAAAGCGATCAAGGATATACGGTAAGACGCATTGAAGATACGGTGTCGCGCACGTGAGGTTTTCCCGCTTTCTGGCTACCTACTTTTAATCGTAAACTAATGTGGAGTCGCTTCTTGCTTAGCAAAAATTTAACTTTCGTACAAACTTAAAATCGGATAATAGTAATTAAGTCTATATGATACACAGGAAGAACAATTTGGTTGAAAGATCTATAATTTTTCTGGTTATAGATCTTAAAATAATTTTGTTGAACTATTGAAATTATTTCAAAATTTTTGCAATATGTTTATCATTTTTGAGTTTTCAAAATTATTTTGATGAAATTTCAGGTCTGTATCCAGCAAAATTTTAAATCTTTCTGCAAAATTTTTGGTGTAGCTAGTGAAGAGAACTATGATAAAATAACTTCAGTCAAATATTTGTTAATAACCAAAACTAATTAAACTTTAATTTTACTTTTTTAAAAATATTATCTTTCTTTTTTAATCTTTCCCTTTCTTTTTTAATTATTACTAAAAACGTTTAATTATTATTTTTATATTTAGTAGTATTTATTAAATATTGCATCAATGCACTAAATAAAATACATTTGATATAGCTATTTTATCACTTTCTCCAATGCAGCGTGATTTACTTTAAGCTTCACCTTGTAGGACAAGTAGTTCCGGTTAGCGGTTTTGTTTTACTAAAAAACAAAAGAAATTAAGTGAGAAACAAAATCTAGAGAAAAATAAAAATATACACTGTTAAAAATCTCTCTTTCTCTCTCTCTCTCTCTCTCTACCTAAAATTTCATAATTTTTACAGAAGCAAATTTCAAACAGGTACATTAAAATCATTCAATGTTGTCACAATGAGCATAAAATTACAATAACTTAGATTTAACGATTTCAATGTACCTGCTTGAAATTTGCTTCCGTTACATTTACATGAAATTTCATGTCTTTTTTACCAGTGTACTTATAAACAGGTATCCATGAATTCGAATTTTGACGCGTTTACCAGGACGCGGCGATTTTACAACATCGCAACACTCACGCGTTATACGCACTTCAGTGTCGCGTGCATCGGGGAAAACGGGACAGTTGCCAAATGTTACGAAACTGCGAATCGCGCGGGAGATCTCGGTTTAAAGGGCAAGATCGGCGTTTAATCGCAACATGGTGCAATATTCTTGTGAGAAACGTCCCCGCCTTTATGAACATCCGATCCGAGAGTTCGAATCCTCGACTGAACGATCTTACGAGTCATCTCGACGACACGCCCGCCGCATGGATCGTCGGACAAATGTCGGAAATAATCTCAACAGGTGTATATAACAATGCAGTAAGAATTCGCTTCCTGGTGTTGCAAGGGAGATACTTCGGGGAACCGATATACATACCTTCCCGTTGTTGTTTCGCAGCCTGGTATTTAAGAGACAGTCGTTAGCACTTCATATATCGCAGGTTGTGCAGCGAAACGATTTGCCAGATACGTTGCGTAATTGTTGTAATAAACGATTCTCATTATCATAGTGAAGCACTCACTAGACGGGGCGTGAAAGAAACGGTAATTACGCGCTCCTGCGATACGCGTTAAGAAGCCGAGGCCATCGTTGCGTCCGGAAACGACCGGTCGTGAGTCTCGCTTATACAACTGATAATTTATTTGCTCTCGATTAACTTCGCGCTGGTAAATACCATGTTACGTGCAAAACTCAAACATTTTTCAAGATTTATTCATTCGCGGAAGCATCATGAAGAACAAAAAATTCAATTTTTTATTCTTAATATATTCTTACTCTAACTAATCACCTTTACTATATGTAACGTACACCTTTTGAATGCTAGATATACTATATATTTAAATGTAAGTTGCACAATATACCTACCCGATATTACTCACTTGCAAATTTTTATTTCTTTACTTTCTAGTGATGTTTGCGTTTTTATTAATATATGTGTTATTCTGAAGTATTAATAAATGTGATTTTTTTGTATTTGAAATGTGACTCTCATTAGCCTTTTTTTACCTTCTTAATACATTTTATATATCGAGAGACTTTTAATTGTTAATTATTTGCAAATTACTAAGGCCTAGGTAGTCTAAAGGCTTAGGACGCTTGCACGGAATGCCACACTGTAAGAAAAAAATGCTGATGATTCAAATAAAATCTATATCACGGACTGTCACTATCATAAGTAATTAAACAAAGTATATAAAGAAAGGCAAAGAACCAATAAATTATCAGATAAATTCAATTTATTATAAACATACATTTTGACTCCGATCGGGTCATTTTCAATATTATAGTAAAAATAATACAAAATTCGTTATAAATTTTCAGCTATCATCAAGAACGTTATTTTCAAAGTAATTAAGAATCATTGTTCAAAATTTTGCATTCTTTATTTTGTGTGTGTCTATAATGTGTTATTAATTTAGAAGAAATATTGTTACTTAATATATAAAAGCTTCATGTCAGTTGATAAAAGAAGAGAGAGAGGGCACAGAACGATGGTATTTAACATACCACTATTTAACATTACAAAAGTCCTTTTTAAGCAAAATTGCAAAATTAGAACCACCTGACTTCAACGATGTAAGACAATGTAATCTTAATATAAGTAATAAATAATTTATAAAATAAATGAGAACATAACCCAAAAATATTTTATATATCATTTAGCAAAAAAACGAGCGAAATCAAATTGTAACATGATTCATCAATAATATTTAATATTAATTTTGCTAGTTATGATTCCGACCACTAGATAATAATTAGATATTACTTTTAATCCTCGTGGTCCTATAAAATTCAACACAAAATATTGAAATAGTAGAATTTACATATTTCATATGAAGAAAAATTAATACCAACTAAATTAATTTAAAATAAGTAAGCATTTTTCACAGAGTAACACATCATATAAAACGTAAGTGTACGAGTGAAATTTATAAAACAGTGTAAACAATATCAAAGACTAGTAACTAGGGCAAAATGTCATGTCAGTCTTCGAAAGAATCACTCTCCTATAAATTCTATAAATACTATGTATTTAAAATAGAATATAAACATGTATTTATACATACTATGTATTTATACATACACATGTATAGACACACATATGTAGATCTTGACACAGTAGTGCCTAAGATTTTGACGTGCTGAGACGTCGGCAAACAATTTCAAATTTAACCGTACCTCTACGTTTTGATTGCTACGACTAAACCGTTAGTATTGCATGTATGTTATTATATAATTAAAGCTCGCATTCACAGTACGTCAGACTTTGTACTTAAAGCGACTATAAATTTATCTTTAGATGCTCAAAAACCACTAATATAATACTCAGAGCATATGAAGGTAAAGTTAAGGAAGCCTTAAATATAAGGACCAATTATGAAAATGGTTACATATGTCTAACAGCTATATAACGTCAGGCGTTATCTCAATTTTAAATATCTCCTACATTTTTTAAATTTAATCTTGCTTTGTGTGTGTCTGCAGATACAACTATCAGTTACTTTCTTATCACATTTAGTGATAGATGTTAGCAGGGCTGGGCACATTTCAAATACAAGTATAGAAAGTACTATGAATTTTTTATTTCAAATAGAATTTCTATAAACTTTTTTCTAATATGAGATTGTCGTACGGGAAAAATTAAAGTTAATATCATTGTTATCGAGAAGTTTGCTCTTTTTGACCGAATTCTTGCACTAGTTCATCTATTCGTTCTCTTTTCATGTGGAGAGAAAAGGATAAGACACACATAGACTGCTGCAAAATTTAAGCCATGAAAACAGACTAAGGATTATTAGAAATACATAAAAGACTATTTTCAGTATATTATTTAAAATAAATCTATCAAATTTGAATTCAAATAAATTCCCTTTCTGCACATTAACTCAAAATCAATATTCCAAATAAAAATTTTATAAGCATTTTGTACCTATATCTTAAAAAAAGTATTTTGTATTTTAAATACAAAATTTGGAAATATTATTGCATATTGTACTTTGTATTGATAAAATTAAAAGTATTTTGTATCTTGTAATTTAATACCAAGATTGTTAGTATTCCATATTTAATATTTCAATTAGTATTTTGACGTACTTTACCCGGATATGACTTGTCAGAATAATATAATTTTATTATATGTATTTATGAAAAAATTATTCCATTCTATGATTTAAGGTGGATAAATGTAAATATAAATTTGTACAAATATTAGAACGTGTTAACAACGAAGGTAGTATATGGAATACTACAATAAAATAAAATGAAAAATATCTTCGAAGAATTTGAAAGTTGACTCTCAAAAAAAAATGAATCGCCATGAGGGAAAAAATAACGACAAAAAAGATGTTCCCCAACATTACGGTAAGACTTATAAAGTTCAGAACAAACAAATTCAGCTTTGATAACATTCTGCATTATATTTAAGCAATTATCAGTTTTACGATACTGTTTTCATATTTATTTCATGTTATTCGCTTTTCTTAATATTAAGATGTGCGCTCCGAATCCCTGACAAGTGCGAATCGGCATAATATAGACGTACAAGTTAAAATGAGACCACACAAATGCGGAACGTGTAATAAAGAATTTAAGAACAAATCGCATCTGAGTAGACATGAAAGAACACATAATGGCGAAAAACCTTACCAATGCGAATTTTGTGAAAAGACATTTAGGTGGGTATTTATGTGAAAAACAAAGGTTAGGAAAATAATTTGGTAATTCAAAATTAATGATTAAATTAATTAGTAAAAAATAATAAATATAGATAATAGTCCAAATACAATATCAATATTTAATTTAACTCGCAAAAAATAATAAATATTGCTACGGTTATATCGCAGTCAAAATGGAAATCTTAGACAGCATATGGTGGCAAAGCATTACAATGATGAACGTTACAAGTCTAATAAGGACCTATATACTGGCGGTGTATCATACAAATGCGGAACGTGTAATAAAGTGTTTAAGAGCAAAGCGCAACTGTGTAGACATGAGCTTATTCATAAAGGCGAAAAACCTTACCGTTGTGAGTTTTGTAGACAAATGTTTAGGCGAGTATTTAATTGAATAACAAGGATTAAGAAAATTGTTACTTCAATTCAATATCAATGATTAAATTATGATATGTTAAAGCTAATGAATATAAAAAATAATTCAGATACAATATCAATGATTAATTTAAGTGTTATAAAATTATAAATGTTGCAACGAATTGCAGGTACAAAACAAGCCTACAAGAGCACTATGTGGCAAAACATTACGATGATGAACGTTACATGTCTAATAAGGACCTATATACTGGAGGTGTATCATACAAATGCGGAACGTGTAATAAAGAGTTCAAGAACAAAACGCATCTGACTAATCATGAAAGAACACATAATGGCGAAAAACCTTACCAATGCGAATTTTGTGAAAAGATATTTAGGTGGGTATTTAAGTTAAAAACAAATGTTAGGAAAATAATTTGGTAAAAAATTAAATATTAATAATTCAATTAACTAGTAAAAAATAATAAACATAGATAATAATCCAAATGCAATATCAATATTTAAATTAACTCGCAAAAAATAATAAATATTGCAACGCATTGCAGGCTCAAAGCAACCCTAATAGAGCACATAGTGGCAAAGCATTACGATGATGAACGTTACAAGTCTAATAAGGACCTATATACTGGAGGTGTATCATACAAATGCGGAACGTGTAGTAAAGCGTTTAAAAAGAAAACGCATCTGACTAAACATGAAAGAACACATAATGGCGAAAAACCTTACCAATGCGAATTTTGTGAAAAGACATTTAGGTGGGTATTTATGTGAAAAACAAAGGTTAGGAAAATAATTTTGTTAATTTAATATTAATGATTAAATTAACTAGTAAAAAATGATGAATATAAATAATAATCAAGATACAATATCAATATTTAAATTAACTCGCAAAGAATAATAAATATTGCTACGGTTACATCGTAGTCTAAATCAAAATCGAAGACTTCACATGGTGTCAAAGCATTACAATGATGAACGTTACAAGTCTAATAAGGACCTATATACTGGAGGTGTATCATACAAATGCGGAACGTGTAATAAAGAGTTTATGCAGAAATCGATACTGCGTGTTCATGAGAGGACTCATATTAGAAAACAACCATACCTTTGTGAGTTTTGTGGACTAGTGTTCAGGTGGGTACTTCACTGAATAGCAAGAATCAAAGGAATTATTTCGATGAACATTGCTACGGAAACTTTACAGACTTTCTTCATCTCTAAAACAACACAAAACGATGGTTCACAAAAATAATTAACGTCATTACGAATATAAAGGATATGAATAGAGTCCTCGTACCAAATGAATACCTCGGTTATCACATAGTTATCATTCGGAGCACAAAGGTAGAAAACAACATCCTTACTAGGTATGTCTCGAAATTCTTGTTTTTCCATTTCTGTCTCACTTAATTGATTCAAATGATTTGAAGGACTCTTTTATATAATAATAATTAACACGTTAAATAGGGCGAATACGAGTCAAATTACAATTTTAAAATCTAAATTTGATAATTTATTCTAATATTATATATTGCGATGAATATCACGTAATTTTTGGCGTTTCGTCCCGGCTTCCACTACTAGACTCATCAGTAAGGTATTGTAGTGGAAGCCTACCTTATACGCCTCGGTAAGTTATTAAATCGAGATTCTATATAAAGAGATATACGCGTGTCTTAGCACTTGCGAGAATTTGCGAATATCGATAGACCTCTGATGGCGAGTCGACGTAGTGATATTCTTCGCAATATTTCTCCAAAGTAGGAAATAACGTTCTATTAATATATATAGTCATCCCCGTATAAAAAAAGATTTTTTTCAACTTTTGACAATATTTATGTGATATTCTAGGAACATTTCACGCCTATAGGGATTGACGTGTAACGTTGATAAAGCGTTTAAGACTCGAAACATTCTGTTTCTGAAAACTATTTGTTTCTTTTAATAACTTTAATGTAAATAATCCTTGCATTTACGTCATAGCTTGATCTGATGTAGTACACGTTCGGGAATTAAAGACCATACAACTTTCTCGAAAATAAAACTACAGATTGTACAAAAAGACAAGAGCAATTAGAGAGAGACGTTAACAATTAGAATTTGTGCTACGTGTCGTATACATAGTTCATGAAAATATCCTGATTTTCTCTGTGCGGCTCAAATTAACATCGATACTTTATTTAAAAGCGAGATTGCAATGATGAAACATGAAAATGAGATTATGAAGAAATGTCATACAATTTTTAAACTCTTCTGATTAAGAATAGATGAAATGGTGGGATGGATTCAATTTTCGTAAACATTTATCAGTCCATTTTGTAAATTGGTGGAAGATAGCAATGAGTTGCGTTAGGCTGCGTCAATCTGTGTTAGTATATTTCGCGTATGCTGGCTACCTTGAACTCGTACAGTCAACAATTTTGTATCACTGGCGGAAATTGCAAGTAATAATATCGTTATAAAACTTTACGAAAAGCTTAATATTGAGTGATATTGTCGCGAGCGTATGATCTTAAGAATATGTACCGTACTTGCGTGTATAGCGCTAGAAACATTATTCTTGCTTCTTTTATATTTGATAGATGCTTAAGCATGTCCCACAGGAAATGCTTAAGCATCTATCAAATAAAAAAATAACAGAATATAACATAAGAAAGAGCGCTAGACCAATGCGATAGGCTTTATTGATATAGTAATGTGACAGACGTACATGACGCCATCATGTAATTTATACTTTTAAATCACACGTAACCGGTTGTTCCAAACCATTACGCTATTTTTTAATGTCACGTGATAAAGAATTAAGTCGTGTTACAAATAATTACTTTACGTCGTTTAGTTCAATATGTGAATAAAATTTAAATTACTGAACCGCATATAATTACAAGAAAATGTACTGATCAACGTATGATTTCTCAAATTATTTGGTTAAATTATACAATTTTGTTATGGAACATTGTAACGTGCCTTTTTTTTTGGTATGCACCGACCTAGATTTTTATTTTTATTACTTAAATTTGTAATACAATTTTTATTTATTGGATTCGGATATAGGTATATCTTTTGCACTTCGATCTTATTTCTTAAAGAAAAAGTGTTACAACAATAGTTTTTGAAGATAACATCTAATAATGTTTGAATTAGGATCATTTTTGTAACTTCAATTACTTATTAGGAATTATTATATATTTATATTGAATAAAATTATACAATTTTCTGCTTTATATTTGTATTTAATAAAATAAGACATTTTTTAAATTTTCTTTCACGTGTAACAGCAAACTGCATGAATTTTATTATTTAATTTGTAATTTTTACTTGTGGACATGTATTAATTCTTTAATAAAAATAATAATTTAAACGTTGCTCTACAGTTTATCGCACTAATATTTTCATATATTATAATGTGTTTTGTTACTGATATTTAACACATTAATTTTACATATTTCGTTAGTTATTTCCACTGTAAATCAATATTTAACAAGAACTTTCAAATTAATTTGGAACAATTGCTTCTCTCGAAAAATTGTTGAAATGAAGGAATCGAAATAATTTACACACGACTACGCGTTCTTTAGAGTAATTAGCTTTGCAATCGTTGAATAGTCTCTATGTGACTAGCACTTGCCTATAGGTTTTCGTAGATCCGAATACATAATGTAATAAAATTAATGAATACATCAGTTGCAAAGCTGCTTCTTTCGTTGAATATAGCCACATCAATATGAATAAATTAGAAAAATAAAGGACTCTTTATGTAAACATAATTAAGTATAGAAAAAGGACGATAAAGGTCAAGTAATAAAATGAAAATAATATAGCGATTAAACGCTAAGTATGTAATAAATTTTGAAAAAAATGCATCGAACTAAAATTTAAATTACTAATAAAACAGTATATTTAAACGCTTATAACATATATTCAAAATTACGCAACCATTTTCGACTCTTGGTTTGAGTCATCTTCAGGCGTCTTCAAAATTCAAATATGTAGTTTAATTTAATCAAATATTAACTTCTCGATTTCTCCATTTAATAAGCACTATTGATAATAAACGATAGGAAAATTGTATACAAGACCAATATATCTGTAATTATAACGTAAAATTGACAAGCATACGTCGAATGAACTTTGTCAAATTTATAAGATATTTTAACTTACCAACGAGTTTATACCAAAAAAACTTAATTCAGAAAAATCGATTTGTCAGCAAATAACATGAAAAGAATTTAAGTCAAGAAGAAAATAGTCAAAAATTAAAATAGAAATGAAATTAAAGTACATATTCAACGGAAACCTGTTATAATATAAAATATCGAAACTTAGGTAACTACGTTGTGTAAATAGTCTGACAGATCACACTAGACTGAGCGAGAAGAAATTGTCGGTATCAAAAGATCACATTCTATTTACAATGGGGATATAAGATTTGTGAAGACCATCTGTATCAGTCTGTAAGTTTAGATTATGTTTTTGCTGTTTAATATTTAACATTTCAGAAACTAGGCGTTTTCTATGATTTGGGTCTTCATCTAAGATTTTTACATTTTCCCATTGAAAATCATGATCATTTTATAATCTATGGTCCGTAATAACTGATCAAGTAGACGTATTGTGTCTAATGTGACTGCGATGTTCATTAATCTGGTTTTCAACTGTCTTCCTATCTGTCCGACATAAGATGCTTCACAGTCATTGCACTGTATTTTATTATATATACTACTCTATTTTTTGATGTGTGAGTACGTACATCTTTTTGTACCATAATATATTTTCCCATCTTATTAGGACTGTGAAAAGAAACTCTAATGTCGTTCTTATTGAATCGTTTAAATTTCTCTGTATGGAAGGTATGAATGGAACCGTAAGCCAAGTAATGGAACCGGAAGCCAAGATACTGTTCTTTTGTTATCTGTATCATTTTCTTCTTGTTCTACATCGACTGTATATTTGTTTTTTTGTAAATGTTTTATTCGTTGGTTGATTGTAACGAAAATAAAAGAAAGTGGATAATCATTATCTAATAAAATATTGATAATAAGTGTTAAATTTTTGTGTGAAAATACTGCGTCAGAAAGTAAAAGGGCTTTATCAACCAATGAATAAATTGCGCCTTTCTTTTGTGAGATTGGATGGTTAGACAGAAAGTTTAAAAATCTATCTGAAAACGTGGGCTTACAATACCAATCAAACGCAAAACTGTTATTATAATTACTGTTATTGTAGTGTCTAAAAATTCTAATTTTTCTCCTCCAATTTCACATGTAAATTAGAGGCGTGGATGGAATGAGTTGAAAATCTGAAGTAATGTATCTATTTTTTCAGAATTAACTGAAGTACAAATATCATCCACATATCTGAAAAAAAAAAGGATGTCTATATTATAAGCTGACAAAGATACCGATTCTAATCTTCTCATTACAAAATCTACAATAATGAGTGATAATGGAGAATCCATGGAAATGTCGAAACATTGCCTATAAATCGAATTGTCAAATATAAAAAAGGTTGAGTCTAAAATAAATCTAACAGCCTCCAAGAACTCATTTTTCGGCAAGGGACAGTCTCTCGAGATAAAGCCCCACTGCTCATTAACACAATCCATGGCGATGTCTATGGGTATATTCGTGAACAGTGATACGACATCTAAAGAAATCAGTTTGTAATTTTCTCTTACTTTTATACTGTTTATTTTATCTATTAATAGAAAACTATTCTTAATATAACTGTTTGGCTTTGGAATTGTTTTGAATAAAATATTGTGCAAAAAGGTAGCTAATGAGTGTAATGGATTGCCTATCGATGAAACAATGAGTCTTAGAGGAAAATTAGGCTTGTGAATCTTCGGTAACCCATAAGCTCTTGGAAGTGACCCATCATTGCAATACAGAAATCTATACTTAGGACAAACAATAAAACTTTTAGACTTCTACCTAGTCAGCATGATCCTTATAGCTGACGTGAGTTTTTTAATGGGATCTCTATTTATAATGACGTATGTATTACTGTCGTCCAACGTAGAGTTCATTTGGGAAACATAATAATCTTTATCCAAGGCCACTGTGACATTACCCTTATCTACGTGTGTAAAGATAATGTTCACATCAATATGGCCAATATTCTGAAATTTTGAAAATAATAATACATTGTTCTCTCTACCGTTCTTCGTCACATTAGGATTGTAATTTTCATGCGGCATTCAACAGACCAAACAGTTGAGTGAGCGCTCACCACCATTGATGTGTTCTTCTGAATAAGATATCTGATTGGGTATACCTAAAAGTATACATCACTAATGGTGAGCTCTCACTTAATTTTGAGTCTGCTGAACATAGCCATTGCTAAAAGTGGCCGCTAACTTCATCGTCAACAAGTGACAACGTGAAATATACTATCAAACGTCTTTGTGTACGAACTATTGCAGTCAATATATTGTGTCCATATGCCATCGGATGGCAAAAATATGGAAAACAAAACAAAATCTAAGACCATAATGATTCGGAATTTCAAATCTCAATTTTATATTACATTTTTATAGGTTTTGCATCGCGATATCTATGTTTATACAGCAAGTAGAAAAATAAATAGATGCACTTTCGGAACACAATTTGAGCAATGGCTATCGATTGAGCGTACGTATAACTTGATTGGCTCAACCGTTATTGAGATCCAATACTCTTGATTATTCGTAACTCGTCGATTCGCGTAAAATAAAAGTGGCACGGCGCGTATCACGCTACGTGTAGTACTTGGCGCGAGACTGTACCTTGTATATAGATAACTAGTATACAATGTTAGTAATAAAAAAATATATATATACATATATATACAATAAAAAAAATAAATATAATAATACCGAAACTTTCATAAACGGAACTAACGGGTCCTTTTTCAGCGATATTTAAAGATGTTAAAAGTTAAATAGAGAAGAAAGCATATTCTTACCGTCTAAGCGACATGATTGTTTCGTACAAATTGTTTCATAGAAATTAATTCTCCTATTTTTGTGTGAGTGTAGAAATTCTGTAATAAAATGTATGGAAACAGGAGTATCTTTACATAATTTTCTGATTCTGTTAAGCGCAAGTTACACCCCAATTAAACTAGATATTTATTTTATAAAAAAAATTTTATTACCGCTCGATTTAGACCGGTTTTTTCTTTATACTTTGTACTGCACAAAAAAACGAGCGAAATCTAATTATAATAAGATCCTTTAAAAATACTTAACATTAATTTTGCTAGTTATGATTTATACCACTAGATAATAAGACATTGCTTTTAATCCTCGTGGTCCTATATAATTCAACATAAAGTATTGAAATAATAGAATTTACATATTTTATATGAAGAAAAATTAATACCAACTAAATTAATTTAAAATAAGTAAGCATTTTTCACAGGGTAACACAACATATAAAACGTAAGTGTACGAGTGAAATTTATAAAAAAGTGTAAATAATATCAAAGGCTAGTCACTAGGACAAAATGTCATGTCAGTTTTGGAAATAATCACTTATGTGTATTTATAGATACACATGTGTAGACCTTAACACAGTAGTTCCCAATATTTTAACGTGCTTGGACGTCAGCAAACAATTTAAAATTCATCTGTACCTCCACGTTTTCATTGCTACGCTTACGCCGTTAGTATTATATATAAGTTATTATACCATTAAAGCTCGTATTCATAGTCAGACAGACTGTGTACATAAGACGTCTACACATATATCTTTAGATGCTCAGTAACGACTAGTATAACACGTAGAGCATATAAAGATAAAGTTAAGAAAGTATTAAATGATAGGCCCTACTATGAAAATGTTTATATATGTTTAACAGCTCTATAACGTCAAGCGTTATTTTAATTTTAATTATCTCCTACGTTTATAATTTAATCTTGCTTTGACACACATATTTGATACTTTCTTATCGCATTCTCTGATAGATGTTAGCAGGGCTGGGCACATTTCAAATACAAGCATTGAAAGTACTTTGTATTTTTATTTCAAATACAATTTCCATACATTTTTTTAAATATGAGATTGTCGTATGTGAAAAATTTAATTTAATATCATTGTTGTTAAGAAGTCTGCTCTTTTTGACCCAATTCTTGCACTAGTTCATCCTTTTCATTCTCTTTTCGTGTGGAGAGAAGAGGATAAGGCATAGACTGCTGCAAAATTAAAGCAATAAAAACAGACTAAGGATGATTAGAAACAAATAAAAGCTTATTTTCAGTATATTATTATATGTATTTCAAATAAATCTATCAAATTTGAATTTAAATAAATTCCCTTCCTGCACATTAGATAACTCAAAATCAATATTCCAAATAAAAATCTTATAAGTATTTTGTATCTATATCTTAAAAAAAGTATTTTGTACTTTAAATCAATAAAAGTAAAAGTATTTTGTATTTTGTAATTTAATACAAAGATAATTAATATTTCGTATTTAGTATTACAATTACTATTTTAATGTATTTAAACCGGCTCTGACTGTCCGCATAATATATAATTTTTTTATATTTATAAAACAATTATTCCATTTTCTCTGATTTAAGGTGGATAAATGTAAATGTAAATTTGAACAAATATTAGAACGTGTTAACAACGAAGGTAACATAAGGAATATTACAATAAATAAAACGAAAAATACCTATGAAGAAATTGAAAGTTGACTCTCAAAAAAAATGAATCGCAATGAGGGAAATAATAACGACAAAAACGATGTTCCCCAACATCACGGTAAGATATATTAAGTTTAGGACACTTTCAGCTTTAGTAACTTACTGCATTGTATTTAAACAATTATCAGCTTTACAATATCGTTTTCTTATTTAATTCATGTTATTCGCTTTTCTTAATATTAAGATGTGCGCTCCGAATTCCCGACAAGTACAAATCGGCATAATATAGATGTACAAGTTGAAATGAGACCACATGAATGCGGAACGTGTGATAAAAGGTTTAGGTTTAAATCGAATTTGATAAGACATGGAAGAATTCATAATGACGAAAAACCTTACCAATGCGAATTTTGTGGAAAGACATTTAGGTGGGTATGTAAACGAAAAATAAATGTTAGGAAAATAATTTGGTAATTCAATATTAATGATTAAATTACCTAGTAAAAAATAATAAATATAGAAAATAATTCAAATACAATATCAACATTTAAATTAACTCGCAAAAAATAATAAATATTGCTACGGTTAAATCGCAGTCAAAATGTAAATTTAAGACGGCACATGGTGGCAAAGCATTACAATGATGAACGTTACAAGTCCAATAAGGACCTATATACTGGAGGTGTAACATACAAATGCGGAACGTGTAATAAAGAGTTTAAAAACAAAGCGCATCTGACTAAACATGAAAGAACACATAATGGCGATAAACCTTACAAATGCGAATTTTGCGGAATGACATTTAGGTTGGTAATTAAATGAAAAACAAAGGTTAGGAAAATAATTTGGTAATTCAATATTAATGATTAAATTAACGAGTAAAAAATAATAAATATATATAATAATCCAAATACAATATCAATATTTAAATTAACTCGCAAAAAATAATAAATATTGCTACGGTTACATCGCAGTCAAAATAACAATCTAAGACGGCACATGGTGGCAAAGCATTACAATGATGAACGTTACAAGTCCAATAAGGACCTATATACTGGAGGTGTAACATACAAATGCGGAACGTGTAATAAAGAGTTTAAAAACAAAGCGCATCTGACTAAACATGAAAGAACACATAATGGCGATAAACCTTACAAATGCGAATTTTGCGGAATGACATTTAGGTTGGTAATTAAATGAAAAACAAAGGTTAGGAAAATAATTTGGTAATTCAATATTAATGATTAAATTAACGAGTAAAAAATAATAAATATATATAATAATCCAAATACAATATCAATATTTAAATTAACTCGCAAAAAATAATAAATATTGCTACGGTTACATCGCAGTCAAAATAACAATCTAAGACGGCACATGGTGGCAAAGCATTACAATGATGAACGTTACAAGTCTAATAAGGACCTATATACTGGAGGTGTATCATGCAAATGTGGAACGTGTAATAAAGAATTTAAAACCAAAGCGCAACTGTGTAGACATGAGCTTATTCATACAGGCGAGAAACCTTACCAATGTGAGTTTTGTAGTCAAATATTTAGGTGAGTATTTAATTGAAGAACAAGGATTAAGAAAATTGTTAATTCAAATGTAAATGATTTAATTATCTGGTAAAAGCAATAAATATAGAAAATAATTCAAATAATAATAATCCAAATACAATATCAATATTTAAATTAACTCCCAAAAAATAATAAATATTACTACGGTTACATCGCAGTCAAAATGGACATCGAAGACAGCACATAGTGGCAACGCATTACAACGATGAACGTTACAAGTCTAATAAGGACCTATATACTGGAGGTGTATCATACAAATGCGGAACGTGTAATAAAGAGTTTAAGCACAAATCGATACTGATAGTTCATGAGAGGACTCATATTAGAAAACAACCATACCTTTGTGAGTTTTGTGGACTAGTGTTCAGGTGGGTACTTCACTGAATAGCAAGAATCAAAGGAATTATTTCGATGAACATTGCTACGGAAACTTTACAGACTTTCTTCATCTCTAAAACAACACAAAACGATGGTTCACAAAAATAATTTACGTCATTACGAATATAAAAGATATGAAAAGAGTCCTCTTACCAAATGAATACCTTGGTTATCACATAGACTCGGAGCACAAAGGTAGAAAACAACATCCTTGCGAGGTATGTGTCTAGTAATTTTTGTTCTTCCATTTCTGTCTCACTTGATTCACTTTGTCTTTTTAAGTTTCTATACATCAATTATAAATATGTTTTTTTTTCTGTTTGCATTAAAGTCATTATTATCAAATCTCAAGTCACGATTAAAACTTCTAATCGAAGATGCAGTGCCTAAATACCACAACGTCAGTGGTTGGTGAAAAGACGGGTATAGACGATATGCTTCTTTCCATGCAAGAGGCTAAAATTTTAAATAATATAAACACAATAATAAGCACATAGGAATAAATGAAGTAAAAACGCATAAATATGTTATAGATTAGTGCAAATATGACTGATTGTGAGTTTTGCCTCTTTTACGACTTTATTCAAATCAAAATATCTTATTAAATCTTCTTCGTGTACTATCGATCCTTCAAACAATGCCGAAATTTTGATACATAAATTTTATACTCGGTAAAAATAATATTTATTTTTTAGGATCAAACATTTTAACCATAATGCCATAGGAACGATACGCCATGTATATTAACAATGAGATAATCAAATATTATTGTATTTACTCTTTTTCTGTAATATAAAAATGACTGCCACAATATGTATAATGGTGACAGACGTACATGACATCATTATGTAATTTATACTTATAAATCACACGTAACCGGTTGTTCCAAACCATTACGCTATTTTTTAATGTCACGTGATAAAGGATTAAGTCGTGTTACAAATAATTACTTTACATCGTTTAATTCAATAAGAGAATAAAATTTTAAATAACTGAACCATACCTATATAATTACAAGAAAAGGAACTTGTCTTGTATGATTTCACAAATTATTTTTCTGAATTATACAATTTTGTCATGGAACATTGTAACGTGACTTTTTTTGGTATGCACCGACCTAAATTTTTATTTTTATTAATTAACAGTTTGAATACAATTTTTATATACTGGAATCGGATATAGGTGTATCTTTTGCACTTCGATCTTATTTCTTAAAGGAAAAGTATTACGACTATAGTTTTTGAAGATAACATCTAATAATGTTTGCATTAGGAGCATTTTTGTAACTTCAATTACTTATTAGGAATTATTATATATGTACATTAAATAAAATTATACAATTTTCTGGTTTATATTTATATTTAATAAAATAAGACATTCTTCAAATTATCTTTCAAGTGTAACAGCAAACTGCATGAATTTTGTTATTTAATTTGTAATTTTTACTTGTGGACATGTATTAATTCTTTAATAAAAATAATAATTTAAACGTTTTCTCTATAGTTTGTCGCACCAATCTTTTCATATATTATAATATGTTTTATTACTGATATTTAACACATTAATTTTTCATATTTCGTTAGTCATTTTCACTATAAATCTATAGTTAATAAGAACTTTCAAACTAATTTGGAACCATTTCTTCTCTCAAAAAATTTTCAAAATAAAGGAATCGAAATAATTTAACCTCGACTACGTTCAGTAGAGTAATTAGCTTTGTAATCGTTGTAATAGTGTCTATGTGACTAGTACTTGCCTATAGATTTTCTTAGATCCGAATACGTAATGTAACGCATTTAAAAAATACATCAATTGCAAAGCTGCTTCTTCCGTTGAATGTAGCCACAGCAATATGACCATTATTCTGAAATCCTGAAAATAATAATACATTGTTCTCTCTACCGTTCTTCGTCACATTAGGAATGTAATTTTCATGCAGTATTCAGCAGACGAAACAATTGAGTGAGCGCTCATTACTGTTGATGTGTTCTTCTGAATAAAAAACCTGATTGGGTGATCTAAAAGTATACATCAATAACGACGAGCTCTCACTTAATTGTTGAGTCTGCTGAACAAAGCCATTGCTAAAAGTGGCCGCTAACGTCATCGTCAACAAGCGACAACGTGAAATATGCTAACAAACGCCAAATTTGTGTCCGAACTATTGCAGTTAACAGATTGTGTCGATATGCCATTTGGGCTGCGTTCAGAAACATCACCCGAATACCTCCATATATCGTCTTATTTTGTTTAACATTGAATGAACAACAAGGATAAGATGATACTCGGAGAAACCTGGGTGATATTTCCGAACGCAGCCCTGATAGCAAAAATATGGAATACAAAACAAAATCTGAGACCATAACGTATCGGAATTTTAAATCTCATTTTTATATTACATTTTAAGTTTTGCATCGTGATATCTACGTTTATAGTGCACGTAGAAATGTTTTTAAAAACACTTTCGGAACATAACTTGAGCGATGTCTATCGATTGAGCGTACGTATAACTTGATTGGCTCAATCCTTATTGAGATCCAATACTCTTGATTGTTCGTAACTCGTCGATTCGCGTAAAATAAAAGTGGCACGGCGCGTATCACGCTACGTGTTTACTTGGCGCGAGACAGTACCTTGTATATAAATAATTAGTTTACAATCTTACAAAAATATATTCATAAATACAATAAAAAGAATAAATATAATAATACCGAAAGTTTCATAAATGGAACTCATGGGTCCTTTTTCAGCGATATTTGAAGATGTTAAAAGTTATAGAGAAGAAATCATATTCTTACCGTCTAAGCGACATGATTGTTTCGTACAAATTGTTTCGAAGAAATGAATTATCCTATTTTTGTGTGAGTGTAGAAATTCTGTAATAAATTGTATGGAAACAGGATTACCTTTACATAATTGTCTGATTCTGTTAAACGCAAGTGTTACCCCAATTAAACTAGATACTTATTTTATCAAAAAAATCTTATTACTGCTCGATTTAGACCGGTTTTTCCTTTATACTTTGTACTGCAATAAACGAGCGGAATGTAATTATAATAAGATCCTTTAAAAATACCTAACATTAATTTTGCTAGTTATGATTCAGACCACTAGACAATAAGACATTGCTTTTAATTCTCGTGGTCTTATATAATTCAACATAAAGTATTGAAATAATAGTATTTACATATTTTATATGAAGAAAAATTAATATCAATTAAATTAATTTAAAATAAGTAAGCATTTTTCGCAGAGTAACACATCATATAAAACGTAAGTATACGAGTGATTTCTATAAAGCAGTGTAAATAATATCAAAGGCTAGTCGCTAGGGCAAAATGTCACGTCAGTTTTGGAAAGAATCACTTATATGTATTTATAGGTACACATGTGTAGACCTTGACACAGTAGGTCCCAAGATTTTAACGTGCTTGGACGTCAGCAAACAGTGTAAAATTCATCTGTACTTCTACGTTTTGATTGCTACGCTTACGCCGTTAGTATTGCATATAGGTTATTATATCATTATATCTCGTATTCATAGTCAGACAGAATGATATATGATTATGTACATAAGACGTCCATACATTTATCCTTAGATGCTCAGTAACCACTAGTATAATACGTAGAGCATATAAAGATAGAATTAAGAAAACATTAAATGTTAGGCCCAACTACGAAAATCGTTATATATATATGTTTAACAGTTATGTAACGTCAGGCGTTACTTTAATTTTCATTATCTCCTGCATTTATAATTTAATCTTGCTTTGACACACCTATCTAATACTTTCTTATAGCATTTAGTGACAGATGTTAACAGGACTGGGCACATCTCAAATACAAGCATTGAAAGTAGTTTGTATTTTTATTTTAAATACAATTTCCATGCATTTTTTTGTAATATGAGATTGTCGTATGTGAAAAGTTTCAGTTATTACAATCCCTGTTGTCAAGAAGTCTGCTCATTTTGATTTATATATAGCTCTTGCAATATTTCATGTATTTTTATTTTCTATTCACGTGGAGAGAAAAATATGAAACATATACTGCTGCAAAATATGAGCCATGAAAACCTAAGGATTATTAGAAACTCATACAGGATTTTTTCAAGTATATTATTTCAAATGAATCTATCGAATTAAAATAAATTCTCTTACTGCACATTAACTCAAAATCAGTATTCCATATAAAAATTTTAGAAGTATTTTGTATCTATATGGTAAAAAAGGTATTTTGTAATTTAATACAAAGATTGTTAGTATTCCGTATTAGTATTGCAATTACTATTTTAATGTATTTTAACTGGCTGTGACTGTCAGCATAATATAATTTTATTATATTTATAAAAAAATTATTCCATTTTCTGTTATTTAAGGTGGATAAATGTAAATGTAAATATGTACAAATATTAGAACGTGTTAACAACGAAGGTAGTATAAGGAATATTACAATAAATAAAACGAAAAATACCTATGAAGAAATTGAAAGTTGACTCTCAAAAAAAATGAATCGCAATGAGGGAAATAATAACGACAAAAAGGATGTTCCCCAACATAACGGTAAGACATATTAAGTTTAGGACACTTTCAGCTTTAGTAGCTTACTGCATTGTATTTAAACAATTATCAGATTTACAATATCGTTTTCATATTTAATTCATGTTATTCGCTTTTCTTAATATTAAGATGTGCGCTCCGAATTCCCGACAAGTACAAATCGGCTTAATATAGACGTACAAGTTGAAATGAGACCACATGAATGCGGAACGTGTGATAAAAGGTTTAGTTCTAAATGGAATTTGAATCGACATGAAAGAATTCATAATAACGAAAGACAATATCAATGCGAATTTTGCGGAATGACATTTAGGTTGGTAATTAAATGAAAAACAAAGGTTAGGAAAATAATTTGGTAATTCAATATTAATGATTAAATTAACGAGTAAAAAATAATAAATATATATAATAAACCAAATACAATATCAATATTTAAATTAACTCGCAAAAAATAATAAATATGGCTACGGTTACATCGCAGTCAAAATGTAAGTCTAAAACGGCACATAGTAGCAAAGCATTACAATGATGAACGTTACAAGTCTAATAAGGACCTATATACTGGAGGTGTATCATACAAAATGCGGAACGTGTAATAAAGAGTTTAAGAACAAAGCGCATCTGACTAAACATGAAAGAACACATAATGGCGAAAAACCTTACAAATGCGAATTTTGTGAAAAGACATTTAGGTGGGTATTTAAGTGAAAAACAAATGTTAGGAAAATAATTTGTTAATTTAATATTAATGATTCAATTAACTAGTAAAAAATAATAAATATATATAATAATCCAAATACGATATCAATATTTAAATTAACTCGCAAAAAAATAATAAATATTGCTACGGTTTCATCGCAGTCAAAATAAAAATCTAAGACGGCACATGGTGGCAAAGCATTACAATGATGAACGTTACAAGTCTAATAAGGACCTATATACTGGAGGTGTATCATACAAATGCGGAACGTGTAATAAAGAGTTTAAGAACAAAGCGCATCTGACTAAACATGAAAGAACACATAATGGCGAAAAACCTTACAAATGCGAATTTTGTGAAAAGACATTTAGGTGGGTATTTAAGTGAAAAACAAATGTTAGGAAAATAATTTGTTAATTTAATATTAATGATTCAATTAACTAGTAAAAAATAATAAATATATATAATAATCCGAATACGATATCAATATTTAAATTAACTCGCAAAAAAATAATAAATATTGCTACGGTTACATCGCAGTCAAAATAAAAATCTAAGACGGCACATAGTGGCAAAGCATTACAATGATGAACGTTACAAGTCTAATAAGGACCTATATACTGGAGGTGTATCATACAAAATGCGGAACGTGTAATAAAGAGTTTAAGAACAAAGCGCATCTGACTAAACATGAAAGAACACATAATGGCGAAAAACCTTACAAATGCGAATTTTGTGAAAAGACATTTAGGTGGGTATTTAAGTGAAAAACAAATGTTAGGAAAATAATTTGGTAAAAAATTCAATATTAATAATTCAATTAACTAGTAAAAAATAATAAACATAGATAATAATCCAAATACAATATCAATATTTAAATTAATTCGCAAAAAATAATAAATATTGCAACGGTTACATCGCAGTCAAAATGGACATCGAAGACAGCACATAGTGGCAACGCATTACAACGATGAACGTTACAAGTCTAATAAGGACCTATATACTGGAGGTGTATCATACAAATGTGGAACGTGTAATAAAGAGTTTAAGAACAAAGCGCATCTGACTAAACATGAAAGAACACATAATGGCGAAAAACCTTACAAATGCGAATTTTGTGAAAAGACATTTAGGTGGGTATTTAAGTGAAAAACAAATGTTAGGAAAATAATTTGTTAATTTAATATTAATGATTCAATTAACTAGTAAAAAATAATAAATATATATAATAATCCAAATACGATATCAATATTTAAATTAACTCGCAAAAAAATAATAAATATTGCTACGGTTTCATCGCAGTCAAAATAAAAATCTAAGACGGCACATAGTGGCAAAGCATTACAATGATGAACGTTACAAGTCTAATAAGGACCTATATACTGGAGGTGTATCATACAAATGCGGAACGTGTAATAAAGAGTTTAAGAACAAAGCGCATCTGACTAAACATGAAAGAACACATAATGGCGAAAAACCTTACCAATGCGAATTTTGTGAAAAGATATTTAGGTGGGTATTTAAGTGAAAAACAAATGTTAGGAAAATAATTTGGTAAAAAATTCAATATTAATAATTCAATTAACTAGTAAAAAATAATAAACATAGATAATAATCCAAATACAATATCAATATTTAAATTAATTCGCAAAAAATAATAAATATTGCAACGGTTACATCGCAGTCAAAATGGACATCGAAGACAGCACATAGTGGCAACGCATTACAACGATGAACGTTACAAGTCTAATAAGGACCTATATACTGGAGGTGTATCATACAAATGCGGAACGTGTAATAAAGAGTTTAAGCACAAATCGGTACTGATAGTTCATGAGAGGACTCATATTAGAAAACAACCATACCTTTGTGAGTTTTGTGGACTAGTGTTCAGGTGGGTACTTCACTGAATAGCAAGAATCAAAGAAATTATTTCGATGAACATTGTTATGAAAACTTTACAGACTTTCTTCATCTCTAAAACAACACAAAATGATGGTTCACAAAAATAATTAACGTCATTACGAATATAAAGGATATGAAAAGAGTCCTCTTACCAGATGAATACCTCGGTTGTCACTCGGAGCACAAAGGTTGAAAACAACATCCTTGCGAGATCCAGATATTCATCCAGAATATGGAAGATCGCCCTCTCGCAGCCAAAGAAGTACCCCTTCCCCCACCTTTCAACATACACCCCCCCCTCCCAACAGCGTCTATATAAAGGAGTCCTCCAGGGTAGCGGCTCAGTATCAGCGCACCCCTCGTCCTGATGAAGTGAACGGTATGGTTCACGAAACGTTTGTATTAATAATGAAGAAAGACACGGCGATAACCCGCAAACCTTCTGGTATAATATGTGAAACGATGTTTTCAACGGGTGAACGTAAAGACGAAACATACATTTAATGTACAGAATTATATTAACTTATGAATGTTGTAGGTATGAAGATGTAGGTATATGTATTATATGTACAAATTAATTCGGTCCGTTTTTGTGATCAAAAATGCATTTATTTCAAAACAAAAATGGATGAATAGATTAATTAAAGTATTGTCAATCGCTGGCTACTACTTTTTCCCATCTCTCAGGCAATTTTTGAATTCCATCTCGAAAAAATGACTCGTCTTGGTGGCGATCATCTTTTGGAAAACGGACCGAACTAATTCCTACTCATAATATGTCACTAGGAATGTGGAATAAGAACATTTTTAATTGACGTTATAAGAATAAATATAGATATGCACTGATCAGAGGTTTTGGTTTTTAATAATTAGTAGTTTGTAATAGAACCAGGAGACGCAGTAGTGTTTCCAGTCATGTTCAAAATATCAGTAGATGCGGTAGTATCTCCAGCCATGTTCAAAAACTGAAAGGCACTACAAGTCTCTTATCTCGAGCCATCAAAGTCTATTTTTTGGGGGTGCATAACTACTAAAATATAAAAAATTTTGAATCGAACGTTATATGTCCTGATTAGCGGCATCGCCACGAGTAATTTGAGCCAAAAAAATTTTAAATCGTCAAGCCGTTCTCGGAATATAAGCGGTCGAAAAGTGGTGATTTTAATGAAAAATTAAGAAACGTCTCCTTCTTCTTCTCTATCCGCATTCAAGGCCATATTAAAACTTTCTAATATCCCCTCTCACCTTTTACTCACACCTTCACCATCTTCGACCGACCGCAACCCCTCACTCCTTCCCTCATCCTCCTCCACCACCCACCCCCACCACCCCTCTCTTTTGCCGTGTTTCACTCTTTTTCTTTATATTTTTAAATCATTTTTTTATATATTTGTCATATATTTGTACTCTCTAAAAAGTAAGTAAGTGATATTATATATTTGAAAAAATCATATCATTGATTGAGCGTACATAGAACTTGATCGGTTCAACCATCCAATATTGATCCAATATTCTCGATCTTTCGCAAATCGCCGGCTTGCGTTAAAGAGGCACGGTGCATCTCGCACTGCGCGTACACTTGACGCGAGATACTACCGTGTTTCTTGATTATTTGAAAATTTATTTTTAAGATCAGATTGCAGCATCGTGCTTAATTTTTCTGGCTCATACAAACATTTTAAGGAAACGCATATACTTTCTTCCTTATTTTCCTTAATGTAAAGTGAAAGTATTAGATGTTAATCTTAATAATTCCATGCATAATTTTTGAATTATTAACTAGAAATGAGATGCGTCTTAAAAAATGTTCTCTTTTCTATTACAAAATATTCAACTATTATAGTTTCTGAAATTTTTTATACGCGAACTCGTTTGTTTCCCACTTTAAGTTTCTTTGATGCATTTTTCTTGGTTCGACGGCAAAATGCCGGCTACGCTATGTATACGTAATATTATAATAAGTAAATCATTTTCATATTATCAGCCGTAAAAGCGACATTGCGGGCCGATATTTCTATTGCGGCACACATTGTTCGCAAAAATCTACGAAAAGATCGTCATCGTAAAATTATTATCTAATGAAAATGAAACGACATAATGTAGCGTTTGACCGTCGCCGCTGAATCAGAAAAAGTTTGCTGACCTCGTCTATCGTAATACTGAAATGCACGAAACACATTTACGCAAGAATTAATGTTTTACGGTCGAGAAACACATAACGGATAGGCACGAGAATTATTGATTTCTTTCTGTTTTTGTGTATCGTTGCGTGAACGATACGCTCGAGAAGGAAATAATTTTATTAGGAAATAATTTAAATTAGGAATCTTCGTAATTGCAAATTTGCAGATTTTTATTCTGTTATTTATGTTTAAAACATAAGTCAATGTTGTAAAGTGTAGACATTGATTGCAATATTAAATTGTGTGTATCTTCAAGATAGCTAAAAAATTCTATACAATTGAGATAATAATATATATATATATAATATTCCTAGAATTTTTTTAAGAATAATAAGGAATAGTGAAATGAGCTTACGTAAACATTATCATTACAAGAAAAAGTAAACTAAGGGTTATGTGGGTGATAATTCAGTATTACGTTACTTTTTTTAATGCTAATATTTAATAAAGCTGGTTACGCTTTCTCACTGTAAACAATAAGCGAGAGACGTTAAATATATATCGTTTAAAAATAATTACAAAAATATGTTTTTTACACTTTAACAAAATTTTATAATACATTTCATTAAAATTAAACAATAGTGTATGTACATGATTATTTATGCATAACCAAGTTAAATATATACAACATTGATAGCATACTCATTTTACGTTTACACACGTGAATGCCGAAGCCAATAGTTAGTCATAGATTTATGTTCGTTGCCGACAAAGTGGTGGAACCTCGGTTTTAATTACTCAGTCTAAGCACTCGTTAGCTTCGCTCAATTATAGTACGGAGAAACGAGGAAGTAGAATAAAAGTTAACGCCAATCGCTTGGATCCGCATTGCTGGGCATCGTTGCCGCTAGTCATTAGATTTTATTTGTTTATTGTCTCGATTTGTGATGACAAACCGCTATTTCAAATGTCATAATACGTTACTTTAAAAGATGTCCAGCTGCATTATTCACTTCAGTAAACGGTGCGATTTAACGAACGAGATGTTATAGATTGCAAATCACGGGATATCTGTTACTTGGAATGGATTATTGAATTACTATTTATTTTGGACATGGTATAAGCTATAACTTCTCTGAAATTTATTAACATTTGAAAACCGTAGTTTTCTAACAGAAAAAACTAAAAAAGATATTTTGTGAAGAATTTTCGGAATCGATGAATTTGATTTTGGGAAATTTGATTTTGCAAGATTTAGCATAACAGAGTTCATAAAAAGGAATAAAAAAGTTCTTTAAAGTTCTTTTGAGTTTTTATACTAATTAGATTAATTGTGTGTGAAATTGGATCAATTATTTGAATTGTTCCATTTTTTATCTCAGATACTAATAAAACATTATCAAATTACCCTACAGATAAAGTTTCAAGAAAATTGAGCTAGTAGTTAACAAAACAAAAGAATATGTTCACAAATGGAATCATCGATCCATAAAGGGTTAATATCAAATGTGCTCATCTATATCTGTTTTCCCTGAATATCAGACAATTTCATTAAAAATGTTACTTGCGATTGTAAACTCGTTTCCATAACTTTGGACGAAAAATTAAATAGAGATTGAAAGCTATCGAGTCTTTAGAATGAAGAAACTGAGAATTTTCATGCGGATGTATAAGTGCTGATTGTGCTGACATATGTCGGAAATAATGTTTAAACGAGCCAACCTTACCGGCAACGCAACCGGCTTCGATACGAATGTGAATACTTTCACTGCATCTTCTCCGATTGAAATAATTCGCACGTTCGTCGGAGATAAGTCTCGCGAATTTCCGAAATGGAAATGTACGAAATGCGGCCAATGTCGCCGCGAATCTCGTCACGCGAATATTATTACGATCCGGTTTAGAACCACGTTGTGGAATCCAGGTAAAGCGAACTCTTGCGCGCGCGAATAAAACGTTCTTGCTCGTTTAACGGCAACAATCACGTTCTCACTTTCGATAAAGCGCTTGTAAGAAAACCGCGTGGACATAAATAAAAGCTGTCCGGTGCCGTATGTATCTGTACATGCGGGACATCAGGGCGAGAGAAGAAGGAAAGATTCTTGTATGTGTCACGCGTAATTCGCCATGTACATCGGACTTACACAATGTGCATATGCCTCTCTCTCTTTCTCTCTCTCTCTCTCTGCACGAGCCAGAGATTCTTGATTAGCGCTATAATTCATCAATGAGCGGATTTACTTCGTGTTGTAATTGAAAATTATAAAGACAATTTTAAGGGACAGTACATACGCACACTTTTTATAGCTGCTAACTAAACAGCACCATAATTTTTTTGTTTATTCTCCCTAAATTTTTTGTAGTAAAATCTTTCACTCCAAGAGAGAGAACTCTTACTTCTTTTTTGAAGTAAATTTTTGCTCTTTTCGTAAATTTTATGTTAATTTCTGTCGTTAATATAGACTTCGTCTAACTTATAATGATCTTTCGTAACAACTAGTATAACTAGAAAAATATATCAGATGTAAATCTTAAAGTTCACATCGAATTGATTAAAACGCGATAAGAAAAAACGATTCCTCCTAACTGAAGAGCCGAGGTAACCGAGTTTCTTCAAGGCCAAGAATCCTTGGTAACAAATGGAAATTTACATTTATGAGATAGTTTTGCACTGATAACGTTTCCATTATATCTAACACACGCTTACGATTCCTGAAATCAGAGTCAAAGAGAATGTTGTTGCGTGCATATAAAAAAAAATCTGTATTTTTTTATAATTTTGTCATTCTGTTAAAAAATGTGTGTAATACGTCCTTAAATGATCCGACGCGTTTGTATTCCCTTTCTCGTGTTTATTTGAACAGAG